ACTCGTCGTACTCCTGACAGAGCTGGACAACATCGGTGACGGTCTGTGGATTCCTAGCAACGAGCATCTGGAAGGTATCGTCGTCAACTCCTTTGATGATGTGCTTGATTTTGTCGCGTCCGGTTAGAGATTCATCGACGCGCTTGCGAAGAGACAAGACATCTTCAATGTAACTTGTAAAGGTCTCGTCCCTGCGCTGGACTCGACTACGGAGACGCTGTTCCGCGCGAAGCCGGCGCACGGCGGGACGACCGAAGACCGTGGCGATGGTGGTCTTGAAGGCGGACCAGTTGGTGATTTCGCCTTCGTGGTTCTTGAACCAGAGGCTGGCCACATCAGCGAGGTAAAAGCGCACGTTTGTGAGCTGGTCGCAGGCGTTCCACTTGTTGGAAGCGCTTACGATTTCGTACTCGACGAGCCAGTCCTCGACGTCTTGTTCGTCGTTGCCGCGAAAAATTGGTGGGTCGCGTTGCCGAGGCACGCCAGTACAGTAGACTGTCGTTAGTAAGACAGCTTGAGAAGGGCCAGGAGCAGTCATGGTGAACGGTGAGGGTAGCGTCCGATTGCGAAGTTCCAGGTTGATGGGAACCCCGGCTCCTCCACCACTTAAAATAGAGGTGTTGTACGTCGAAAAAGGTTCAGACGCAGCTTGGCAAAATGTGCTTTATCAGGCAGGTCTGGCTAATGGCGAGCGGCGTGCGCGAGCTACTACTGCAGCCACCGATCACCATCGTCTTCTTCATTGCCAGCAGAGCGTCCGTTATTCAGATTCATTACAATATATATATATATATATATATATATATATATATATATATATATATTGTAACGACGAGAAATAAGACACAACGCCTTTGCTGCAGGCCGGCTGTTCTTATTCTGCTTCGTCTTCCTCCTCTTCCTTCCTAGCATGCGAGTCTGTGCCAGAGAGAGTTCCAGTTTCGGTTTTCGTCATTACACTCGGCCATGACTGCTAGCATTGTCGTTGGGCCAAACGACAATGTTCTGGTAGGTAAGGCTAGCTGCAGCAGTTGACAGTGCTTCAGGTGGGCGAGGTTGGCTACATCGTCGTGGTCGGTCTCGACCACGCTGGAAGTTTGTCGAAATTGGCTCCGGCGGCCGACACTGGCTATGTCGTCTGGGTCGTTCACCGTGTCGTGATGGAGACTGGGTCCTGTGCGCGCGCGGAGCTGGCGGTAAAGTTTTTGGTGGGTGGGCTTGACTTTGTCGCCGTGGTCGAACTCGTCCATGATGCAACGTTTCCTGACAACTCGTAGAATGCAGTTCAGGTGGACGGCCCTGACTGTTCCGGCAAGGTCGCAGAGTAACCTGGAAACGCTGGTGTTTGTCCCACCGTCGCTGGTGGACTGAACTGCAGCGGGATGCCCTGCGAGGCAGCCATGATGACGTTTGGGCCATTTCTTGAAATGAGATGGGACGCAGCTCATGGTTGGGCATAAATACCACAGCAGAACTCCCAGACGTAGTCGAGCCGGTGGCTTCTGGCGAACTGTCATGTGCAAACATCGTATGCTGGGAGGAAACAGCAGGAGGGCTGGTCCTCGGCAAGTTCTCGATGGCAGTGGCCTCAGCGTAGCTAGGTATCTGGGCTTTCTCGAAGGAAACGTTCCTTGGTAGCCGAGTGTCTGCGTGGCTGAGCATGATCGTGGTCTGGTAGGGTTCAGTTGTGTCTAATACAATAGGATTGAGTGCCTCGATGTCCTCAGACGACGAGCGCGAGGGCCGTATCTCCGGACGAAGGTCTGGTGGGGGTATTTTCAGGTCGAATACCGATGCAGAGTCCGGGACCTGTAGTGTAGGATTCCAGCCACTTCGGTCAGGGTCAGCAGCAGGGAACTCCTGGCAGCATTCCGTTGACGAGCTGCAACGAACGATTGCAGCCTCGAGGCGGAATGCTGCCAGGAGTTCCCTGCTGCTGACCCTGACCAAGAGTGCACTAGCACATGGTACTAGAATATTGTAGTACACTTCAGCGCAGCTTTCACGAGCGCTCTTAATGTATATTCGATAAGGAACGCCGTCACGCTTCTTCGCTGATGGAACCCGCAAGGCGTCCGTCGCGGCCAGCATCGATCCCAGCACCGACGGATGGCGTCCAGGCCTCCGTTGTGGTTTCGGGGAACTTGCCCAGGGACGCGACACGTCACGGCAACCATGCGCACGGGCCTCTCTCACCTAGGGATGGCGTACATGCCTCCTCCATACCTGGCAACCTGTCGGCGCTTCAAGCACCCACCGTGTACGGCGTCGAGGCCTACCCGGCGGCGCAACACCGCTTCATCTACGCCACAGTACCAGGTCACAACTCATCACACGGGTTCCGCTTGCCTGGGAACGTCGTTGACGCTTCCAGCGCCCTGGAACCCATGTCCACGAATCCGACCACAGCTGGATTTCCAAGGGACGCCGTCCACGCGTCCTTGGTCAGGAATTGTACCACCTCGAATACCGCAGTCACTGTATCCTCCGCAGAGGCGGGCCTTGGCTTTTCGTGCGGATCACACGACAGCGCAGCGGAGCTGCAGCATACCATCGCGCAACTCCGTGTCACGACCAACGCCCTCATAGCGTCGAGTTCCAAGCTATGTCCTGCCATCTTGCCAACATTGTGCGCACTCAATGCCATGTTGGCTGCGGCCGCCGCACAAAACTTCGAGGTAAGCTCGCCCGAGAACCGTCGCAATCTCCGGCGTTCTCTCGCGGAGGTATCGGAGCAAGTGAACTGCTTGGCGGGGGCACATTTCGGAGTTCTGCCCGCCGTCCCGCCATCGCCGATTTCCTTCGCGCTACCGGAATTTCGCGGCTTCCAGGACGACGCCGAGGAATGGGTGGCAACCGTCAACGCTCTCGGAACGACTGAAGAGCACAAGTGGGACATGGCCATAGATCGCCTGCGGGATGCTGCCGCAGCATGGCACAGGTACGAAGGCGTCAGGCAGCAGTCCTGGGCAGAATGGAGTGCAGCCCTGATTGCCGCTTTCGGACGGATTTCCTGTGACTCCAGCAAGTCCAGCTCGATCTTTCCCGAGGCCGAGGATGGAGCCCAGGCAGCGCCCCGCCTCGAGGCTGCAATCGTTCGTTGCAGCTCGTCAACGGAATGCTGCCAGGAGTTCCCTGCTGCTGACCCTGACCGAAGTGGCTGGAATCCTACACTACAGGTCCCGGACTCTGCATCGGTATTCGACCTGAAAATACCGCCACCAGACCTTCGTCCGGAGATACGGCCCTCGCGCTCGTCGTCTGAGGACATCGAGGCACTCAATCCTATTGTATTAGACACAACTGAACCCTACCAGACCACGATCATGCTCAGCCACGCAGACACTCGGCTACCAAGGAACGTTTCCTTCGAGAAAGCCCAGATACCTAGCTACGCTGAGGCCACTGCCATCGAGAACTTGCCGAGGACCAGCCCTCCTGCTGTTTCCTCCCAGCATACGATGTTTGCACATGACAGTTCGCCAGAAGCCACCGGCTCGACTACGTCTGGGAGTTCTGCTGTGGTATTTATGCCCAACCATGAGCTGCGTCCCATCTCATTTCAAGAAATGGCCCAAACGTCATCATGGCTGCCTCGCAGGGCATCCCGCTGCAGTTCAGTCCACCAGCGACGGTGGGACAAACACCAGCGTTTCCAGGTTACTCTGCGACCTTGCCGGAACAGTCAGGGCCGTCCACCTGAACTGCATTCTACGAGTTGTCAGGAAACGTTGCATCATGGACGAGTTCGACCACGGCGACAAAGTCAAGCCCACCCACCAAAAACTTTACCGCCAGCTCCGCGCGCGCACAGGACCCAGTCTCCATCACGACACGGTGAACGACCCAGACGACATAGCCAGTGTCGGCCGCCGGAGCCAATTTCGACAAACTTCCAGCGTGGTCGAGACCGACCACGACGATGTAGCCAACCTCGCCCACCTGAAGCACTGTCAACTGCTGCAGCTAGCCTTACCTACCAGAACATTGTCGTTTGGCCCAACGACAATGCTAGCAGTCATGGCCGAGTGTAATGACGAAAACCGAAACTGGAACTCTCTCTGGCACAGACTCGCATGCTAGGAAGGAAGAGGAGGAAGACGAAGCAGAATAAGAACAGCCGGCCTGCAGCAAAGGCGTTGTGTCTTATTTCTCGTCCTTACAATTCCTTATCGTGAATTGGTACCGGGAACGGGTGCTGGAGCCGCCGAGGAGGCCTTGACGCCGTCCCAAGCGACGCTTACCGCGGCTACACGTCGGCGGGTATCCTGGGTGACGAAGCCGGGACGTAAGACGTCTTCATCCTGTCGGCTGCGCCATTGTAAGGACGAGAAATAAGACACAACGCCTTTGCTGCAGGCCGGCTGTTCTTATTCTGCTTCGTCTTCCTCCTCTTCCTTCCTAGCATGCGAGTCTGTGCCAGAGAGAGTTCCAGTTTCGGTTTTCGTCATTACAATATATATATATATATATATATATATATATATATATATATATATATATAGTGATTAAAGGACCACTCAACAGGCTTCGAAACGCGCAGGATAAGCTCGCGCGTCTTTCGTACGCCTCACCATGCAACCTTTTTTTCACACGAATTCGTGACGTCTACTCGGTGATCGGCGACGTTGACTAAATTACTCTTTATTGATACCTGGTATAGACCAATCGACGAGCTGCGTGCTACGTCACGTCGCCGAGTTGACGTCACTGCGCGTTGAAGGAGGTTGGTCACGCGCAGGAAAAATGCGCGAGCTTATCCTGCGCGTTTCGAAGTCTGTTGACTGGCCCTTCAAACACGCGCATTCAAATTGTACACGTGCATTGGACGCCCCTCCCACCTCCTTCAAAACCGAACACTGCTAGAACCATCGTTATTAGCATTGTTGCGTTGAAGTACAAAGATGCACGTGCACGGTTCATCTCCTGACGGCAGCTAAGGGGTTTACTGGCAGCCAATTACTTGTTCCGGCCACTTTCACGTCACGTGTGTGCCATCGTTTCCGTCTCCACATCTATTTATTATGTCTCCTTACAGGTATCTTTTTGATTAAGCTGATCGTACGATTCAGCCCCTTAAGCATACGAACACATTTCTTTCCTTCCAGTTTGCTTTTATCCCTTTCCATTCAGCTTTTATCGTCCGCTAAGTGACGGTAGACAAGGTCGGCTGCCAGGGCATCTTCCATCGCCATGCCTGTACGGGTCAAAAAAAAAAAAAAAAAGAAAAGACAAGACATGAAGTTCACGCGTATTGTATGAGATGCAAGCAACAATGCCGCGTTGAGTTCAGAAGCAACTCACCCAGAGATTTGAAGACTGTGGTGTCGGAGCGCCGGCTGTCCTTTGTACCCAGCACGACCTCCCCAATCTCCGCGTATATATCAGCCTGATCAAAATATGGATGAAATGAACAGAGAACGTAATACAAGCGGCTTAATAAAAGTTGTACGGCTAAACTTCGTAGTAGCGAAGTATGTACAACGTCCACAAACTATTATAGACGGTTATATTGGGTAGTCGCAGAAATAGCGATATAAACATTTCTGCTGACAAATCGCCCATCTGCTGCTCGCGCGAGAAGACAGATACAAAAATTACTTATTCTAAGCTTCGGACCCACTTTAAACGAGGCAGTCGTTGCCTCATAGACATTTCAAGCCAAACAGAGAGAAGGCCGGTGAAATTACAACGTTAGAAATTTGGTTCGGCAAAAGTTGTGCGTATACACATTGATTTGAAGAAGCATGTGACGGTGTATTTGACCAATGTTCTAGTGTCACAAAAACGAATGTGGCTGCTAAGCTGTCGTTCAATAATTATTTGGGCTAATCTTGAGGCTCGCGCGAACCAAACAAGTCTTAGTTATGGCCGATATAGCCGTCCGATTATTGCGGCGGCGCTCGCCTTTCGTCTTCGTTATACAAGAAATAAACGTCATTGGAATGGAGTGTGACCAAGCAACGTTCATGCTTAGTACGCCATCACCGATAATTAGGTACATTTGTGTTCGTTACAGCGAGGTTTCACTGTATACGAACGCGAGCTGTGTGGATGTGAACAGGAACGCTGCTATTTTTTTTTAATTTTTACTCTGCTTGGGGCGTTCTTCTAATCCGTTGCATAGCTGTGTAAATTAAGAAAGGATTAGTAGCCGGCCCGTCTACTGTTTTTCCAAACAAAGGCAGCGGGAAAATAGTTATTCTAAAATAGAACCATGGGAGCGCAATGCATTTTGAAATACGCGATGAATGGTCGCACTGACATGTGTGGATGAGAAATATTTATGCTGCTGAACTTTTGTTTCAAAATGTCATTGCGTCTCCTTGCTGAAAAAAAAAAAAACTCAGTTCTCAAGTGAATACATTTTTATTTTATTTTTTGGCTTAGCGATGCGCTTATGGTAGGAAAGCACTATAGAAGTTTATTTTCCTTTCATACAAAGGGGAAAGCCAGGGCTAAAGCTACTGTATATGCAACCGCGGGGAGAGGAGTCGTATACAGTAAGTCTACAGAACACACAGGACACAGTTGATCAGGACGAGTCCAAACTTCAACATGGTCTATGTATACTTCAACTGTACCCTTCTGTTTAACGCAAACTTAAGCCTCGTCATGCGTCTTCTTTGTAGTCTGTGTTACAACACGAACTGACTAGCCCCATTCATCGCATCTTTTTAATTTTTATTCGTGTTATCGCATTTCGGCTAATTATTTATCTGTAGAGGCAAAATTTCTGCCCGAAAGGGTCACGTTCGCGCGAAGCTTACCCCGGAAATGATGACGTCACCGGATTCTGTGCACTGCCCCTTCGGTGCTGTCCACGTAGACCACGGCCTGACGCATCAGCTCCACGCTCAGCTCGTGCCTGTCGGGAAGCGGAGCGCCCACCGCTGCGCGAGACCGAGAGATGGCGTGACACTCATTAGTCGGTGGGAACACGGGGTACCCCACAGGGAGCAGTGTTATCACCGCTCCTTTTCAACATTGCTATGATGCGCCTTCCAAGCGAATTGGCCAGGGTGGAAGGCACACAACACGCAGTATATGCCGACGATATTACAATCTGGACCACTGAAGGGTGCCTTGGTGAAATGCAGGAACGCCTTCAGCAGGCCGCATCCATAGTCGAGGCGTATGCCAACGATTGTGGACTCCAATGTGCTCCAAACAAATCAGAGCTTCTGCACGTTAGAGCGAAGCCAAGAGATAAGTCAGCCATACACATCTCCCTGTCTGGGGTTCCCATCAGAGAGGTGGAGGAGCTCCGGATTTTGGGCCTGTTCATTCACCACAGACTCAGACCGGACTCCACTATAGCGAAACTCAAGAGAATAGGCGAACAGGTAGGGCGCATGATCCACCGCGTTTCCAACAAGCGGGGTGGTCTGCGGGGCAGGGACGCGCTTCGGCTCGCGCATGCCTTCGTGACTAGCCGGATCCTCTACGCCGTCCCATACCTTCGCACTAACAAGCAAGAAGACGAAAGAATAGATGCCATCATTCGTAAGGCTACTAAACGAGCTCTGGATCTCCTGGTGGCCACTTCCAACGCCAAACTGAGGGCGTTAGGTGTGCTCAACTCCTACCAGGAGTTGCGGGAGGCCCACCTTATGAATCAATATACGCGGCTCGTGCAGACGGCTCCCGGGCGCCGCCTGCTAAACCGCTTACATATACAGCACACTTGCACTGCAGAGGAGGCGGAGCGTATTCCGGAACTGTGGCGGCATATGCTCTCGGTCGCTCCACTCCCCAGTAACATGGATAAGCACACGCACGAAAGCAGAAGACAGGCGCGGGCTCGGACGCTTGAGAGGCAACACGGCTTCCGACCTGGTGTATTTTACGTAGATATAGCAGGGCCTTCGCCCACGGGATTGTGCACGGCCTCTGTAGTTCACCGGGAAAAGCATGTCAATGGGCTCTCGTTCCGAGCACAAAATCCAGAGCGCGCTGAGGAAGTCGCGATAGCGCTTGCTGCTGCGGACCCCAACTCGAAAGCTATCATCACGGACTCCCGGAAAGCATGTACTCATTACTTGGTAGGAGAGATATCTCCCCTAGCCAGCCAAATTCTAAAACGGGCTCTCACTGATCCAGCCCCGAAACGCATCGTATGGGCTCCTGGCCATCAGGGCTTACGAGGTAATGAGGCTGCTGACGCGGCCGCCCGAGCGCTTACCCACCGGGCTCCTCACCTTGGCTCTTATGACTCGGAGGCCAATACACCGCTGCTGCGGTTCAAAGAAATTCTAACCTATTATCGCGACACTCACCGCCTTTACCCGGCTCCTGCAAAGGGGCCGAGTAAGGCGGAAGAGCGAATTCTAAGGCGCCTGCAGACAGGTACCCTACTCTGTCCTGCAATCCTAAAACATTTCGATGCGAACACAGATGGGCGGTGCCCACACTGTGGGGAGACGTGTGATATCTTCCACATGGTATGGGCATGTCCGAAAAATCCCCACCTACCCCCTTCCCCTACCCCTTCCCGAGAGGCATGGGAGACTGCCCTCCTCAACTGCTCATCACTAGAGTCTCAACGGGCTCTGGTGAGACGGGCGCGAGTAGGGGCCTCGTCATGCGGTGTCCCGGACTAAGGACGCCGACCATGTAGCGGGGTCATGCTTTGGTCCCGTACCTCTCTCTTTTATAATAAATGTTCTTCATCATCATCATCATTAGTCGGCACTCTTCAACGCGAGGGCGTGAAAAGAGGCCTTGTCGCAGAGAATGCGGTGTTGGAAATGAAATCAAACTCAAGCATTCTGCGTGGCAGTCAAGTGTTCCACAACAGCACCGTGTCCAGTGCATGAAACTACTTAGAAAAAAAGACCGCATATAGTATGCACTCTATTCGACCATTCCAGTGACTATAGGCGGCGCAACAGTACGTCGAAACGGCGGACAAGACGGTGATGTCGCGAGCGTGCAATAGGGTGGACACCCTAGCGTGCACGTCAGTACTGCAACGTCAGCGTCGCAGAGCATGAGGACACGTTCATTGGTTCATGACTTGTGAGTGACAGAACTGCGTCACTGACTGCGTCGCAGATTATCACCGTGTGACAGCTTCGGAGCACAGCTACATGGCGCCGCCAGCGTCGCTGGAATGACCGAATCAAGTGAATGTGTTACATGGAGCCCTGGAGTGCTAGTGGTTGATTTAAACATTCATCGGGAGGGGGGGGGTGCTATCACTCTTTGTAAAGTTGTTTGCGCCTCGTGGTGCACGCGCGTCTCGCGGATTAGCTGCGGTTAGGTTAATGGCCGCCGAGCGAGAAGCCTGTGGCATTGTGCTCGCGAGGGTTAAGAATAATAAATATAAGGTCCCTAGAACATTCTAAGGACCATAGGGATAGCGCGGAGTAGCGAGGAGGTGAGAGCCGCACGGTCGCCGGCGGAGAGGCTAGGCTGGCGCACGAAAAACAGTAGCGAGTCTCTTTGCGGTTTGATATAATTAACAGCGCGCCTGGACGGACGTCTGCTACGGAGGATCCGCGGAGAACGGAGACCGTGGATCGTCTCCCGCGTACCCCTCGTGGCGAGTCGACCATCAGCGACAAATCATTCGCGGTACTTTGTTGTTACGTAGTTCGTGTGTTGTATTGGCTATATAGGGTTGTTTAGCGTGTCGCTAGTGATGGGTCAGATTCGACTGGCTGCCCCGCCACGGTGGTCTAGTGGCTAAGGTACTCGGCTGCTGACCCGCAGGTCGCGGGATCAAATCCCCCCTGTGGCGGCTGCATTTCCGATGGAGGCGGAAATGTTGTAGGTCCGTGTACTCAGATTTGGGTGCACGTTAAAGAACCCCAGGTGGTCAAAATTTCCGGAGCCCACCACTACGGCGTCTCTCATAATCAAATGGTGGTTTTGGGACGTTAAACCCCACAAAATCAATCAATGGCTGAATCGTCGATGTAAAAGCAAGTGAAGAAACGTACACGTGTTCTAGTTTGCCCGACTTGCGTGACTGTCTCCGAGTGTTCCCGAGAGTGGCGATCTCATTTTGTCAGACCCCACAAGATGTTCACCTAATACAAAGAGCTCAGCCCAGTTCTTTTTTTTTTCTTGATGCTGATCATCATCGTGAGTATCACTCGCAGCGTCAACAAAGTGTGCAGCCACGAAGGGGCGCACATTGCGTTGGGGACCTTACTTCACGGTATGGTGAATTATGGCGTAGTGCTTACACTTCGCAACTGTACTTTCATCAGACGACCCAAAAGAGTTTACAATGGCCAGCAGCGCCCTTCATTTCTCTCCATTTCTGTGCAAAAACACCATACAAAATTCTGGAAGTGCGTATAAATGTGCAAATGCGCACAATGTAGCACATGATATAATCATAAGTAACGGTACCAAATGTTTGTCTTCAAACTCGTCTGCTCACAGTGCGTAACGTGGTGTACATCGCAGAAACCTGTTTGCCTTGCAGCCATGAGTGTCCGCAATGGATGGGCCAGGGAGACGCCATCCTCCTAATCGTATGGAGTGGGTGGGGTTGTGGAGGGGGGTGGGGGCACTGTATTGTGTCTGTCCCACAGCATTTGTAAAACTATTTATTTGACGGCACTCGGCGGCAGTGCACAATGGCGATAGCAAAGCAGAGGATGAATTCGCAGAACGAGCGCCGTATTTCCAAAATGGAGCCGAAGCGGATGACCCATGCATGCACTAGAAGGCGCTGCAGAGGACGACTCATTACAGATTTGCAAGGCTGCGCTATACTACGCTCAGTGTGACATTTACCGCCAATATTTCGTACAGCGTTATGGTCACGCAGCTTTTTAACGATAACGGCGGCTGAGGACCACTATTATAGTACTACATTCCAAGAACTGCTTACATCGACACCTTTACCTTCCGAAAGCCCGCGACCAAAAAGAAAGCCGTTCTGGGAAGAACTTCATCGCTTCACTTACATCTGTCGCGAAGTTTGCTTTCTTTCGTAATGGACAAGCAAGTGGGTGGGCCCCTGCACTTAGTGAAAGTGGTGGAGGAAGGCCCCCTCCCAGTGAAGAACGCTACGAACACCTAGATGAAATTAGTTTGAGACTTGGACACGCACCGTTGACGTGGGCGCCTTTCTTCAGCCAGCCGGCTTCCAGGACAGGCTTGGGCAGACGAGGTGGCGGTGACCACTACGTCGGAATCACGCACTGCATCCTCGACGGAAGGCCTCGCAGCGTGCCGAAATGCCCAGTGCGGCGAGCTCTTGCACGAGAGACACGGCCGACGACTCACGGTGGTTCCAGATCCGCACCTGTCGCCATAAGGGGCGGAAAGGTTAAGAATCTGATAGGCCCGTATATTTGTTAGCCCCCACATCTTACCACTTCTTTAGCGGTGTTTTGCGGATGTCCGCACGAACCTGTTCGAAACGAAACATTGTGGTCATGACGAGGACGTGGCTTTTCGCTTGTGTCCCTGCACCCAGAACTGCGAGGATCTTCGGGCTTTCGGTGGCGAGATACTGCAAGAGAACAGACAAGATGGCTCCTTGGGGGCATCTTACACGTAAGCTGAGACACGCAAACAATAGCCATAGAACAGTGGGGAGCCAAGCTAGGAAACCCAGACCCGAAGAATCAGCTCAGCCTAGATAGAACGGGCACGAGAAGATGGCCATGACAGTCCACGGTTATCCGGAATAAGGCAGCCATTCACCTCTAGAAGCACACTGCATCTGCTCAGAATAAAATTTCATTATCTCTCTTTCTCTCTCTGTTGGAAAGCAGTGGACTTGTCACGATAGCCCGTCTGCTTTGTGACATAGAGGAGGCTAGATGCTTAAATGTTTTATGTAAATGTGCGCATGACATGGAAGGACATCGCTCGAATCGGGGTTTACAGAATACCGCTACATAATGGAGACAGAAATACGGAAGGCTTTATACATACCTTGGTAGCAACAGCTGACGCGGCAGCGGTGCGGTAGGCGGTGATCTCTACGGCGTCCATAATCTGGAGAAGAGAAGACGCACGAGATCGTCACAGAATTACGCGTCCAGAATTGGCTGTCCCAAATTAATTGGCACCGTAGCTGAATGGCGCCTGAATTTTCGGGTAGCTGACTATAATGTTCAAAATTTTCTTTAATGGTAAATGAGTTTCATTGTTAAGTACGCGTCATCCTGTCGCCTGCGAGGAAACACAACTATTTCATTGATGTAGCGCAATCGCGTCACGTTATTATGGTCAGAGTGCCAAGCTCAAAAATGTGGCCCGCGTTAATCTAATATTTAAATATATAGCGATGTATATTACGGAAAACAATATAAATAAAAAAATTGGCCCCACATCTGCATGTTTCACTGCAAATGTCGTCAAATGATGACAGTCTACCGTTAGGAGAGAGTGAATAAAACGTTTGTTTGATGTTCTGCGCGAGAAAATTGGTGAACAGGATTCTGGTGAGGGAGAGTAAAACGTTTATTAGATTTCTGCGCGAGTGTAGATTGGTGAGTGGAATCCTCTGTCCGGAGGCGCTGCATGAGACAGGAGCACCACGTTGCAGTAATCTTGCAAAACGAAAAGATGGCCTCCGAAATGGCAACGTTTTTAAAAACGTTCGCGCGGCGTGCGCGCAGGCCATCTCGGAGGCCATAATTTGTAGAATGCAATCCCACGAGTAAGTGGCAGCACCGCATCGTCTTAGCAAAGCGTAGGAAACACCCGCCTTTTTGTGCTATCGTATTGTAAGCGCAGCGTGATAAACGCTACGGTCCTTAGAATTACTTATGTATGCCTTTGCTACATTATAAAAAAAAACACCACAAAATATTGGCATTGTAAGGACGAGAAATAAGACACAACGCCTTTGCTGCAGGCCGGCTGTTCTTATTCTGCTTCGTCTTCCTCCTCTTCCTTCCTAGCATGCGAGTCTGTGCCAGAGAGAGTTCCAGTTTCGGTTTTCGTCATTACACTCGGCCATGACTGCTAGCATTGTCGTTGGGCCAAACGACAATGTTCTGGTAGGTAAGGCTAGCTGCAGCAGTTGACAGTGCTTCAGGTGGGCGAGGTTGGCTACATCGTCGTGGTCGGTCTCGACCACGCTGGAAGTTTGTCGAAATTGGCTCCGGCGGCCGACACTGGCTATGTCGTCTGGGTCGTTCACCGTGTCGTGATGGAGACTGGGTCCTGTGCGCGCGCGGAGCTGGCGGTAAAGTTTTGGTGGGTGGGCTTGACTTTGTCGCCGTGGTCGAACTCGTCCATGATGCAACGTTTCCTGACAACTCGTAGAATGCAGTTCAGGTGGACGGCCCTGACTGTTCCGGCAAGGTCGCAGAGTAACCTGGAAACGCTGGTGTTTGTCCCACCGTCGCTGGTGGACTGAACTGCAGCGGGATGCCCTGCGAGGCAGCCATGATGACGTTTGGGCCATTTCTTGAAATGAGATGGGACGCAGCTCATGGTTGGGCATAAATACCACAGCAGAACTCCCAGACGTAGTCGAGCCGGTGGCTTCTGGCGAACTGTCATGTGCAAACATCGTATGCTGGGAGGAAACAGCAGGAGGGCTGGTCCTCGGCAAGTTCTCGATGGCAGTGGCCTCAGCGTAGCTAGGTATCTGGGCTTTCTCGAAGGAAACGTTCCTTGGTAGCCGAGTGTCTGCGTGGCTGAGCATGATCGTGGTCTGGTAGGGTTCAGTTGTGTCTAATACAATAGGATTGAGTGCCTCGATGTCCTCAGACGACGAGCGCGAGGGCCGTATCTCCGGACGAAGGTCTGGTGGGGGTATTTTCAGGTCGAATACCGATGCAGAGTCCGGGACCTGTAGTGTAGGATTCCAGCCACTTCGGTCAGGGTCAGCAGCAGGGAACTCCTGGCAGCATTCCGTTGACGAGCTGCAACGAACGATTGCAGCCTCGAGGCGGGGCGCTGCCTGGGCTCCATCCTCGGCCTCGGGGAAGATCGAGCTGGACTTGCTGGAGTCACAGGAAATCCGTCCGAAAGCGGCAATCAGGGCTGCACTCCATTCTGCCCAGGACTGCTGCCTGACGCCTTCGTACCTGTGCCATGCTGCGGCAGCATCCCGCAGGCGATCTATGGCCATGTCCCACTTCTGCTCTTCAGTCGTTCCGAGAGCGTTGACGGTTGCCACCCATTCCTCGGCGTCGTCCTGGAAGCCGCGAAATTCCGGTAGCGCGAAGGAAATCGGCGATGGCGGGACGGCGGGCAGAACTCCGAAATGTGCCCCGCCAAGCAGTTCACTTGCTCCGATACCTCCGCGAGAGAACGCCGGAGATTGACGGCCGCATTTCAATGTAGGTGTAAAATGCTAGAGGTCCCTGCGCTTAAATTTAGGTGGCATTAACACCAGATGGTCGAAATTTCCGAAGCCCTTCGCTATACAGCGTCTTGCATAGTGAGATCAGAGTATTAGGACGTAAAAACTTGAACAATTATTGTTCGACAAAGCGACAATCTGTTCGATGAAGTGTACATGTACCACGCTAACTGAGGTGCTCAGAGGCTATGGTTGGCTTGTTTTTAGGGGTGAGGCTCCTTGAGGCGAAGGCAAGTCCCGCGTTGTAGTAGCCATCGCCCGAGCGCTCACTAGATGGCGCTGTAATGCTCGCACCGCTTAGTACAGGTAGGTCTAAGGTACAGGTAGTGATATGCACGATACCGGAGGTACCGGTGCGTGATAGCAACCTGCAAAGAGCGGTTGTCAACGCAAACCAAGAGATATGGCGGATGAGTCGAGAGAAAGGCTTTGAGGTGGTGGAAATAAACAGAGAGGTGCATAGGTGGGGTGGTTTTCAACGAGACAGAATTCACTTCGATGGGTGGCTAGGTCATGAGGTGGGTTGGCGACTTGCAGGACGCGCAGTAGCTTTTTTGGGGGGCAAGCGAGCCCTTCGGGGTGCAGGATAGCTAATAAAGAGGAAAACAACCAGGGAGACTCTTCGACAGGTGGTATACGATTTCAAAGTGGCACCAATATCTAAGATAGGTAGAGTCCAGGGCATAAATAGACGTAGCCGCACGAGCGCGGAGCCAATTCAGACATAGGGTATATTAACATGCAGGGTGGTAGGAACAGGCTGAAGTGGGAAGAGATAGAAGAACAGCTAAGGGAAGAGAGGCCGATGGTATACGGTTTTGTAGAAACACATCTCAGGGACATGGAACAACCTCCGAACAATCCGGACTACGCGTGGGAATATTGTAATAGAACAGAAGGCAGCAGAAAGGGGGGTGGTATTGGGGCATTCATTCATAAAAGTACAGACTGGCAAAGGGTCAAGCAGGAGTGCAAGGAACATTTATGGCTAAAAGGGAAAGCGGCAAGGCAAATGACGCCCCTTGGTTTGGTGTACTTGTGGACGGGAGCAAAGGCCAGAGAGGAAAACCAGGCAATGGTAGAGTGTATATCAAAGGACATGACGAGTTAGGAGGAAGGTGTGAGATAATTATACTAAGAGATATGAATGCGCACATAGAAGATATAGATGGGTATACCGACCCGACAGGCAAAATTATCATGGATATGTGTGAAAGGCTTGATTTGATCATTTGCAACAGTACCGAGAAGTTGAAAGGCAATTAACATGGGACGTAGGAAGGCTGCAGTCGACGATAGATTATGCACTGATGTCACATAGGATGTATGATAAGCTCAGGAAAATGCACATAGATGAAGGTGGCTCCAGAAGTCTGCGTAGGGATCACAAACATATCAAGCTAAGTTTTAAAAGAGCAGTGAAAGTGGGAAGGAGACAAGATGAGCAACTACAGGAAAATTTTTATCCAGAAAGGCAAATTGAGATAGCCACTAAACAAATTGAGAAAGTAATCACGGAGGATAATAAGACAGTGTGGACATACACGAATCTAATTAGACTCTTTGAGCTAGAGCTTGCTAAGACGCGTGACAAGTCACCCCGGAAAAGAAGACACAAACCCAAAAGTTGGTGGGATGAGGAAGTTAAGAGAGCCATAGCAAAACGTCAGGAAGCCTCTAGGGAACACAGACATGCTAAGCAGCGGGGTGAACCGACAGATGATGTTGAAAGAAAATGGGAAACCTTTCTAAGCTGTAGAAGGGATGCATCTCTTCTGATCAATGAAAAGATTAGAAGAAAGGGAGCTCAGTGGCTGGCAGAAGTACATAAAAAAGATAGAAAGGCAGCTGCGAAATTTTGGAACCATCTAAACTCCCCAAGAAATGAGACGAGCCTAGAGCAGAGTTTTATAACTACAGCCCAAGGTGCTAGGCTAGGAGGGGACGAAGCTATGGAATATATAACAACAAGGGTGACAAAAAAATTTCAACACAGAAGTGCTTTATGCACCACAATAGACAAGGAAGAATCAAGTAGTGCAATGGCTCCATTTTCACAACAAGAGTGGGAAAGGGCTGAGAAAAGGGTTCCTAGTAGTACATCAACAGGCCCAGATGGCATTCCAATTATGCTGATAAAGACATTAGGTCCGAAGTCTAAGCAGGCTTTGAGAGGCAGTGAGCAAAATAATAATCGATGGTGAAGTTCCCGATGGATGGAAACTTAGCAGGATGAGCATGATCTATAAAAGAAAGGGGGACAAAGCGGAAATAAACAACTACCGTCCTATAACAGCGACATCAGTGGTCTACAGGCTGGCGATGCAGATTATAAGGGAAAGACTGCAGGCATGGATAGAGGATGAAGGGGTGCTGGGGGAACTGCTGAGTGGGTTTCGGAAACACAGGAGGTTGGAAGACAATCTGTTCTCACTGACGCAGTGCATCGAAATAGCAGAAAAGGAACACAGGCCCCTGTGGCTAGCATTTTTGGATATCAAGGGAGCGTACGATAGCGTGGTTCAAGAGGAATTATGGGGAATACTGGACACACTAGGCGTGGAACATGTAGTCACTAATCTTTTAAAGGATATCTATAAAGGCAACAAGGTTGTTATAAAGTGGGAAAAACAGGTATCCAAGCCTGCAGAGGTAAAACGGGGGCTTAGGCAGGGGTGTCCCCTGTCACCCTTATTATTCATGATGTACCTACAAGGATTAGAGGCCAAATTAGAGGGAAGTGGACTGGGTTTCAACCTCTCTTTAGACAAACAAGGAAAACTCATTGATCAGGCACTGCCAGCATTAATGTACGCAGATGATATAGTGCTAATGGCCAACAACAAGGAAGATTTGCAGAGATTGATGGACATCTGCGGTAATGAGGGAGATAAGTTAGATTTTAGATTCAGTAAGGAAAAATCAGCAGTCATGATTTTCAATGACAACGTAGGTAGTGAGCTTAGAATACAGGAGGTCACGCTAGAGATAACAGATAAATACAAATATCTGGGCGTATGGATAAGCAATGGGACCGAGTACCTGAGGGAACACGAAATATACGTGACGACTAAAGGTAACAGGAATGCAGCAGTGATGAAAAATAGGGCACTGTTAAGGGCCTGGTGGCATACTTGTCACCACCCCGTTATAAAGGGGACGCTCATAGCATCCATCCATCCATCCATCCCTCCGATGTGTGCTCCTGTGTGATAGGAGACCGGATTTGCTCTTGCGTTAGAATTAGTTCGCTCTCGGCGTGCTTCCTCTTTCGCCGGCAGTCTGTGTGCTTCGAGTATGAGCGACGAAGACAATGCGGCGCAGCGGAGGGCTCTGAAAACACTGCTGCGCGTGCTCACCTTTACATGATGATCGACTACGCAAGATTCACGAAGAATTCACGGTTTACCGATGTACATCTGGACCTTCGCCCTCTCATCATCATTCACTCAATGGATATCCTGTGATTTTTTTTCTTCGACAGCATTTTGCTTGCTTCCTGTGTATTCTCTCTTTATTCCCTTAACCTGCATTTGCTAGCTGTCGTTGAGATGTCAGCGGTCTATGCTACAGAGGGTGCGGTGAGCGGTGAATTTAGTTTCTCATTCTCTTAATTTCTAGTTTACTAATTTGTCACTGCGGCAACAAAATTGTTCACAAACATACTTATCTTTCCTTTATAACCTTTGCTTTTTTTTTCAAATCAGGCAACCGTTTGCGATTATGCGACTACTACCTTACTTCGTTCTCACTCTTCTCTATCTTGTGTTTATTGTAAAAGTACAGTAAGTTGAGTGCATCCTTACATGACCACCAGCAGACACGCGCCCACAGTCAATCGCACGAGAGAGGGGGCAGGGGAAGACAATACAATGAACCTTTGCACCCCTCCCCCTGATAGGCAACCCTGCGCACACCGATGCGCTCGTCCTCCTTTCTGTGCTCCTTTCTGGGTCCTAACTACTGCCTCCTCCTGGATACGCAACGGGGCCGACATCCCCTCCCCCATACTTGGCGAATGCGAAACTTACGCATTTGAGGGCTCCTGTGCCGGCATGGAAGAGGATCACAACACCCTGGATACTTGGGAAGGGCGGCCTGTTGTTCGGGTAGCAAGTGATCACCTTGGTGGCCAATGATTGGCCAGAAGCGATGTAAGCCGGCATAGACAGCAACTCCCTGCGGTAAAAGCGCCGCCAATAAGGACAACGCGCTATGGCGCCACCTCATACAGCGGACGTCGATGTTTGTACACAACATCCATCACATAAACACCGCAAGAAGCAGTGGCAAGCATGAGTCGTCTGCTGCGTATAATGGCACCCTTCCCGGTGCACCACTGAGCCACATGGCGGCTCAGTTTCAGTGCGTACATCCGTGTTTCGAAAAATGCGTGGAAATAAGAATGGCAGTGACCGCGTTTCTACGGACGCAGTTGTTTCCGGTTCATGTTGTGTCAACGCTGTCGAAGCATCCTGCCCAGTAACATCCACACCGCAGCTATATCGGCGCTATAGGGTTGAAGCTTCAGCTGCTCATGTTTTTCATTGTGTCCCGTCCGGGAGGAAGATCTCACTCACTCGCTGTGGACGTGCCCATGCGCTTGTGCAATTGACGCATTGGTGAAACGCCGGTGCCTTTATGAACCCTGACATTGATACTGCTCGACACGTGATGCAGACATCTCCAACTTGGGCAGGGGCGCAGTGATATTTTTTGGAAGTGGGAAGTGGGGAGGGTCGACCATCCTGGCCTTCATTATTGTCATTCAATTTTTCACATTCACACTCTATATTTACCAATCTTGCCTTTTATGTCATCGTGGTGAAAGAAAAGCTGCTGTTGCTAAACACCCCCCCCCCCCAACCGCCCACGCCTTGCCGATGCACCTCCCTGCAAAAAGTTCCCCAGACGTACCCGGATGCGCTGTTTTCCAGTAACTGATAGGTACTCGATCCTGGGCTTGTTGGTGATCAGCCGTTTGTTATATAGTAATCTGCTCTGTTATCGAGGTCACTTAAGACAGAAAGAAATAAAGAAAAAAAAGAAAGAAAGATAGCTGTAGGGATGACACGCGCAAGCCAAGCTTTACGTGCCCCCACTTTCCAGACGGGGGAACGGCTCCTGATTTTTTTTATTTACATCACATGCGTCCCTACATACTCTAATCGTCACTTATCGTATACCCCTCTTTATTCTGTCTACATTCTGCGCAGAGCAACAGGCTCGATGCGTTTTACTTTTTTTACTATCATTTTTTCTTTAACTTCAGGCCAACTTCAGTCCTCGCCTTCTTCTCAGATAACTTGCACATCGCTTAACTTCGCCTATGCAGTGCCCTCAAATACGATGCATGGCGTAAAAGAAGAAGTCCAATTTTCTGTTGTTATCACGGCTACTGCGGGGATTTCGTACGGGATTCCTACGAACGGCGCACGACGACCAGTATTGGAAAAGATTAAGATGCACACTTACTACAGTGGCCTACCGACTCTACCAACTCAAAGAGCCTACAAGGAAAATTATCACAGCGGCAATGTTGCCGAAATTTCACTACGTTGTAACATAGCCTCTGAACAATTTCATTCTTTCGTAAGAACATGATTGAGTGATTACTGCTGTGACGGAAAACTACGCCTTACCTGTTGGTTTCCCCAGCCTACAGCTAAGAGTGACCATTGTCAAAAGTGCCCCCCCCCCTCTCCCAACTTTTCTCAATGAGGGGGGGAGGCTCGCGCTCCCCTTGCCCCCCCCCCCCCCTCGGTTGATACGTCTATGCTGATATCGCACAGTACCCGGGCCTCCACCATTAGGCACTGCGCCATGCTCCCGTCCGGGTTGCAGAAATTAGGTGCCTTTTCTCATCTTCTAACCACTACCCTCCACCATTTCACCTCCATCGAAATGCGACCGCCGCTACCAGAATCGAACCCACGACCTCCGAGACGGCAGCTGCTCCACCACGGTGGATTGTGGTAAATGTGACACGTTCGGTTTCGGACGCGCCAATTATCGTGCCACATGTATTCCACAGTTAACAGACAAACTTTTTGTGAAGTAATCGGCTTGATTCGGTCGCTTGAGAGTATACGGCCTACTGTGTATATACCGATGTATAGTATACACAGTCATCGGCAAAAGGCTGCGTTTGAACCGCTCCGTGAACATTAAAGAGAATATATCATTGGTGAACGTGAAAAATAAAGCGGGGGCAAGAACGTATCTTGGCGGAGCACCAGAGTGAACGTCAAGTTGCTGCAAAACATTCTTTATAATTGTCACGTTTTGTGCTCGATTTGATGAAAGGCTGGGGATACATGAAATAGTTTTATTGTCAATACCAAATACTAATAGCTTCGCTATTATATCTAAATGCGGAATAACGCCGAACTTCTTGGAAATTTTTTAAAAATTTTCTATCTTGTCTTCATCAATAATTTCGTAAACTATTTTATCTGTAAATTCAGTGAGTTCTGTTACAGTTGAATGACTTGATCTAAATCTGTCTCGTCGACTCTAGAGCAATTAGTTGATTTCTAAGTGTAGTAGCGTGGTCTGAAAGATTATATGTTCCATTAGTTTGCAACAAGTAGTCGTTCAGTCGCTCTATACGATAATTAAAATTTCGAACCTGATTCGCGATTTCGAATTATGTTTGCGCTGCACCAATCGTCTGGTCACGTTGCTGTTTCGAAACAAAAAAAGGTGATAAATAATTATGCAGGTATTCAGCTACACGTACAGCACATATAGAAATGGGTTAGTAATACTACACTCTTAGAAAAAAGGTGGTAGTACTTGCTAACTTTGGGGTTATAATGGTTTGTCACATATGTTACAGCCCTGGTAGTAAGCGCAGTTAGTAACGGCGAGGGTGGTAACAGTTACTACCTCTGCTGTTACTACCAGCAGTTAGTAACTGTTACCACCCTAGCTGTTACCACCCATTGGTTATAACTTTTAAAGGTTTAAAGAAAAAAAAGTAGTAACCGATACTACGCAGGTCATGCATTTTGGCATATTATTTCTCCACTGTTAATGTTGGCTAATCAATTTCTTACAACTAGACAAATTCGCTTAAGAAGCGGGGTGTGCCATGAATGCGAATAATGCATAGACAAAGAAGTTAACTATTTGCTACGCTCTCTCGCTCTCCGGCACGCCGATGCTGACGATTTGAACACTTGCTCAACTTAGACGCAAACGAGCTCAACTTTTAATTTTCGCTTGTAGACTCCGCAACTGTTCATTACTGCTAGGTAGGTTATTTCGCACGCCAGCAAGCGATCACGCCGAAACGTGATGACAGTACAAGCAACCATGGATATTGTGCCAAACGAGGTTCTGCTGCCCATCTTGGCATTAGTGGATGGCGCGAGTCTCATCAGGTGCAAGCGGGTGTGGAAGCGGTGGCTGGCTCTGGCCATGCCAATTAGAGAATAATATGCAAGTCAGAAATCGACCATCACATTCGGTATGAACTGCTCGATGATTCATGTCCAAAGGATGAATCTCGACCTGTGCAAGTTGACTGGTTCAGGGTATATAAGTGTTGGTACAGCACAAGGGTTGTTTTTTGTTTCAAAGCTTTCCTATCACATTCGCAACCTATAATACCTATGCCTTTCAAAGAACAAGGGACGTGCCTCAAGACATCAGGGGGATGTAATTGTGAGTGGCCACACGTCAGGAGTCATATCTGTTTGGAATGCTCGGAACGGCTGGCCGATAAACTTCAGTGAAACACGTGCAGATTCAATCCGGTATCTCACATTCTGAGATATTCGTGGCACTGCTACACTGTGACCAGCATCGGCGCGCCGGAGAGCGAGCGAAGTTCACTATTTTTTTTACGTATACATGTAGTAAGAAGTAAGCGTGGGGTATATATAGCCCCTACTTTGCAGGGGCATGTCTGGCACAGGGGCGCACTTGCATTTCAAGATGAATTTTTACAAACATAAACCTATATCGCTATACTATACTACCTGGTTACGTGTGTTTGGTGACGTAGCACAAGACTTTTAATCAGACATGCTTATAAAAATTATATATCATATTTATTTATTATAAAATGGCCACAAAAAGGCATTATGTACAGTGGCCGGAGCAATGTACCGAACTCATTCTCAATGCATTTGAATGTTTCACACGACTAATAAAACTGCGTTTAAAAGGTAATAATCGTTTTAGGGGTTTGGCGCGCCAAAACAATGATAATATTTGGAGACACGCCGTAGTGGATTAACTGTGACTGTCCTCGAGGCTAATTGTGACCGTCTGGTTACTTTGATCTGCCGGTCTTGTTAATATGTGCTGTAATTTACTAAGTTTGTTGTGATTGTCTATTACGATACGTGTAGCACTTGCTTATGGTTCGTTAACTTCTACTTCTTCGTTGCGACTATATCAGAATGACGTTTACATACTCGGCTGCGTAATTTAAAACAAAATGTATTTTCTTGATCTATAGATACCTCAGTCTGCGTCATTTTTCTGTGTAATGATTATACGTCGAGACGATTCCTCTCATAAATTATCAGAATCGCATTCACACACTATATTGGAATAGATAGTCAAAAGCCGGGTAGCAAAGAGGTAGTAACGGGGCAAGAAAGGTAGTAACGGCTGCATTTACTACCTTTCATTTCAGTTACTAACTGTTTACTAACGTAGGTAGTAAAGAGGTCGCAAAAAGTTAGTAACAGTTGCAGGTAGTAACTGTTTACTCACGTAGGTAGTAAACATGTAGCAAAAGGGTAGTAATGGTCGAAGAAAGGTAGTAACCACTGCAATTGCTACCTATTTGCCTGCAGTTGCTACATTTTTACTAACTTTCTTTAAAGAGTGTATGGGGGCCAGTGGGTTTCTGTCATGTTTCTCCTCTTCGCTTATTGACATGCTCAACCTCAACTGATAAGGTGGGTTTCGTAGGCAGATTTCGTGAAGAAAGATTGAAAGAAAAGGGTTTGGTTCTTTGAAAATACTTCCGGTTCGAAAAGCAATGATGCGATCAGGAACTTTTATTTGCGGGATGGGTTTCTCGTTTATCAGCCAAGTGTCGCCAGAATTTCTGCGGGTTGCGTGCCTCAAAAAAAAAAAAGGTAAAGCGACAAAAGTATGAAGCGTGTCATGTTGGTATGCTGGTTGGGCATGTTGGGCATTTCGAATTTCGAGAGTATGTGTACGCTCTCTGAAACAAACCTTGTCGGAAGTTAGCGCTCATCGTCTTCCCTTCTCTTGTTTGCATGTCAATTTTTTGCGCTATGTGATCAGTTATGTGAAGTGACGTTGTGTAAGCGCGACTTAGCACCTGTGATATTCGGGTGCTAAGTCAAAATAAGGTTATAGGTATCAGCGTTGCTACCTTTTTTCCGTCAACACATCATTTTTCTTTTCACGTGTACTATTTCTCGAGTTGATTGATATGTGGGGTTTAACGTCCCAAAACCACCATATGATTATGAGAGACGCCGTAGTGGAGGGCTCCGGAAATTTTGACCACCTGGGGTTCTTTAACGTGCACCCAAATCTGAGCACACGGGTCTACAACATTTCCGCCTCCATCGGAAATGCAGCCGCCGCTGCCGGGATTCGAACCCGCGACCTGCGGGTCAGCGGCCGAGTACCTTAGCCACTAGACCACCACGGCGGGGCACTATTTCTCGAGTTACGCAAGGGTATTCAGGGTTAATTACACTTTTTTTCTGGGGAGGGGGAGGAAGAATAAAAATTTCTTCTCACACAAAAAAAACAATACAGTTTAAACATGATCGTTGTTCGTTCACGTCTTTTAATTTCGTTGAAAGCCGCAAAGTTTGTTTTCATGAAGCTGAACACGCCAAGATTGTCTATGTGCAGTGTTTTACATGAATATACAATGGCTTTTTGTGTTGTCGTGTTGCTTATAGGCGACGAGATAAGACGACCGATTTATGATCTCGAACGCCGTTTTCTGATGATACAGTGCACCCGTGTAGCGTACAAATACCAAGTCAAGAATCCACCGGCGACTGAATTTTTTCGGACATTTCCAGTAACCGATTCATATAATAAAAAACTAAACACGGTGTAGTAGTGATTTAGAACTTCGTACTTCCCGTCCGTCATGTGAACGAATATTCCAGTTGTTTTCCAGGTAAATTGAAATTCCCGGCGATGATAATTTATTTTGTGTGTGTCGAAAATGTGGGTAACGATTTAGAGTACTAGGTACTCTACTATGGGAGAGCTTAAAGCCGTACCTTGAATCAATGGGCTTCAATTATATATTCAATGATATATTCATGAATATTCTCAAGATATCCCGGCTGAACATTTGGGGTATGTAAACGTCTCCGATAGTATGCTGTTGTCGCATTACATGTCTGTGTGATACGCTTTGGTGGTCCGGTGCATCTACCCATACTGAACACTCTAGGTTAGTTTTAATTACGTCAGTCACGCATCTTTATCCTGATCCTCTCTCTCTCTCTCTGCGAAACGGGATATATGAAGCGGGAACTATTCCTGAATCCCCATGTCCCGGACGCAGTTACGTTTCAATTACTATGTCCTACTGAGTGAAGGTGGTGCGACAAGATTAAATTTTACAGTTGACCAAATTTGTTGACAGCGCTCCAAACATTGCAGATAAAGAACTCCGACTATTTTTTTTTTTCATGTGGCGTAAGTTCGTGTTATTTTGACTCCATTCATCGTGCTGCGTGTTACGGGCCGTACAATTGACGCTCTGCTTTAGTTCAATCCTGGCATTTTTCAACGGGTCCCAAGTAAATATGTTCCCGTGAGCTTTTAGGTTGTCAGCTGTTGGCTTTGATTTACCACCTTTAGCCCTGCCGCTTGCGGGAGGCTGCCGTATTGAAAGTTGTCAGTTCTCTCACTCTGTTCGAAAAATTCCCGGATGTAAAAAAAAAATGATTACAGATAGCTTTCCCTTTCAGAGTGCTAACTAATCTGTAGTGTGCTCTTCTTGCCACGTTTCTTTTTCTGTATCTCACTAGTGGGCCAGTGCCGCGGTATCTTGCCTAACGCGATATGGTTATTTTCGCTATCGCTACTCGCAATGTTTTTCCTCACCACGCGCGAACAACTTAGATGCGCAGTGCTAGCGATTGTGGTGTAATGCGTGCACCTCAGTGCAAACCCACACACCCGTAAAAAGTGTCTCTTCACATAAGTACTCCGTGAGTTTTGATGAAGGCTTGGCCACAGTCGAATCGTTAGCAAACGATATTTCGTACGTGCATCCTTGTGCCCATTCATCTATCGTATCGGACCCTCGTATATATCATATATATTTATATATAGATCGCACGCACATCACGTTAAGCACGGATGGTTTAACCCTCTCTCCCCCTCTTCCGTGCACAGTCCTATGACTCCCGGAACAAGTAAATCGCGGCTCGAAATCCGGGCGACAGCAGACGACACACACGAGCGCGGCTGAGACGCTGTCGTCATCTACAGCTCTTTTCTTCACAAAGGTATATATGCCCAACTGGTCCCATTTTGTTTTTTTTTGTTTTTGCCATGCATATAATACAGCCTTATAAGAAGGAAAATCTGCAGCACAGGCTATATCAAACGCACCCATTGTGACCCTTGACAGGCACGACATGTCTCTGCGGCTGGACGATGCCACCACCGGGACCCAAGGCGAGGCTACGGAATCCGTCTTCCAGGAGTCGCACCAGCTGTGGAATGTTCTTCTCCAGGCATCGTTTGACTTGGCACGCTTCGAAGAAGGCGAAGGGAAGCATGATGGCGAAGAGCTCGCGAGGCAGCTGTACGACTTCGTGCCCGCACCCGCCGATAATCGCGGCAACTTGCGGGCCCAGTGCTACGAAGCCGCCGGCTGGCTGGCTCTTATCCTTTGCTAGCCTGAGAGAGTGAAATAAACGAAGGGAAGGGAAAGCGCGGGCGTTGTTGCCGGAGCTACCGGAGCTACGGCGGCGCAGTGAATGAAGGTCATTCTCAGTGTAGTACCTACAGCGAACGGTTGTCCCGACGAAGCCAACGTCACCGAAGCGGCGGAAGCTGTTGCACACGTGGTGTTTACTGGAATAGTTAGCAGCGGGTCGACTGTACGTGGTTTGACGCTTGCGCATTAAAGCCAAGCGTCTTGATTGATTGATATGTGGGGTTTAACGTCCCAAAACCACTATATGATTATGAGAGACGCCGTAGTGAAGGGCTCCGGAAATTTAGACCACCTGGGGTTCTTTAACGTGCACCCAAATCTGAGCACACGGGCCTACAACATTTCCGCCTCCATCGGAAATGCAGCCGCCGCAGCCGGGATTCGAACCCGCGCCCTGCGGGTCAGCAGCCGAGTACCTTAGCCACTAGACCACCGCGGCGGGGCCAAAAAAAAAAAAAAAGCCAAGCGTCTTCGTGCACATTATGCAACTTGAGATTTGGTGCTTGGACGCACATATGGTGCGTGGCTTACAAATGCACATGCGGCGCCAATATGAACTGGAGCCGTGAATTCGCTTTTATACCCAGGTACTTTTCTTGTTCCTGTAATGAAGTATGACTATAGAAAAAAAGGCATATATCCCACGTGCGTACAGTGGGAATCGATGATATGCGAAGCGCGAATGAAGGAAGGTTGATATGTCACTTTAAAATCAGCACAACGTTACGAGGCGGCCGTAAATAAGGCCGTAGATGACTTTTATGTCATGATTATCATGTTGGACGTGTCATATCTACCTTCGTCGTATTTTCACGTCACGTGATACCAAATTTGGTGTATGGAGCCAGCGAAACGGCCGCGAGCACGCTATGAGTGTTGCATGTAGTCATGTTTTACATATCACGCATGCCATGATTATCATGTTTGGACGTGTCATTTATCTTCATCGTCTATTCGCGTTACGTGATACTAAATTTGGTATATGTGGAGCTATAGCGAAACGTCCGCGAGCACGCTATGAGCGTAGCACGTAGTTATGTTTTATATGACACGCATATCAAGGTTATCATGTTTGGACGTGTCATTTACCTTCGTAGTCCATTCACGCCACGTAATACAAACTTTGGTATATGCGAAGCTATCTAAACGGCCACGAGCTTATCATGAGCGTGGCATGTAGTCATGTTCTCACATGACACGCATCTCATGATTGTCATGTTGGAACTAGTCATATACCTTCGTCATCCATTTACACCCCGTAATACGAAACTTGGTATAAGCGAAATTAGTGAAACGACTGGGAGCGCACCATGAGCATGATGTTTAGTGATGACTTGCATGACATGTATGTCATGATTTCCACGTTAGGGCCACTTACGTTCTCCACACAGTCATGTCATACCATGTCAGTTTTGAAATATGTCAACGAAACCACCGCAAGAGCAGGTGGTTTCGGAGCAGGACCATGAAATGTAAATCATAAAATTCATGTCATCATACTCATGTTATGACTAGTCACTTATGCGCGTCATACAATCATGTTATGCCATACCAATTTTGGCATCGATGATTATCGAAACGGCCAGGAGAGCTAAAAGTCGTAGTTAGATAGATAGATAGATAGATAGATAGATAGATAGATAGATAGATAGATAGATAGATAGATAGATAGATAGATAGATAGATAGATAGATAGATAGATAGATAGATAGATAGATAGATAGATACGCTCAAACTTGCCGAAGTTCCTTAAGAAATGATTCGCACTTGAAAAGAAAGTCATATAGTGATTGCGACTCGACATGCACAGGAAAAAAGAATATCGGTGCAGAAGATAGCAGATACTGAAGTACAGTGGCGCGAGCTTTGATGGTGAATTCATACAATTCTAAAAGTCAGCTGGAAATCGCTCCCTCATGTCTCTGCTAATGATGTGATATGCCCAAATTACTGTGTCATATACTCAAATCCTCGGACATTCGCTGATTCGGACATCATGAGCCACATAGTTACCGTGACAACCGCCACGCACCCGCCCACGCTGCTAGGAAGCCTAAATGACCGACGTTTTCAATGTAGGCCCGCGCACACGCGAACTAAGCAGCGCGTTCAAAGTAAAAAAAAAAAATCTTCAAGTTGATGACGCGCGCTAATGAAGGGACGCATCTTGCTCCCTAGTCATCAGCCCCCTCCCCTCCCTTTACGGCGCAGATTTAAGAGCACTCGCTATAGTACGAGAGGAGAGAAAACGCATAGGGTGACAAATACCTGTAACTCCGCTCGTACTTTACGGATTCAAACAAAAAAAAAAATGCGGCAGTCGATTCGTGAGGCAATAGGGTTGAAATTTAAAGCTATCCAACGATTACCGGGAAAAGTATCGCAGGGCCATTTTAAAGGGGCACTGCAACACTTTTCATCGTAATCGCCAGATGACGCTCGGTGTCGGTGACAATGCGCTACAAACGTCCGAGCGTGATCTACGAACGCGGCACAGCATCGTAATCTGATCGAGCATCCGTTTGCAGGAACCAACTCGAGTGTGAACACTTCACGAAGTAGCACTATTTTCGACAGCCGTGAACCAGCGATGCGCAAACAGCAGACGACGATCTCCCGGAGCGAGCATCGGACCAATGGCGAGGCGAGGTGGGACAACATGGCGGACGCGGCCAACCGGTGTCCTCGGAACGACCCTCAAGTATTCGCTTGTTTGTGCGCTGTTTCCGACGGGACAAAAAATCCCGGCTGCGCCATCGCACTGTTTTTGAAAATCACTGTTATTTCGCGATTACCACAATAGTTTTCGCCCCCTATGAGGGCGCAACAAATTTTTCGAAGCACTTCTATGAGGTTTCAGTGTAGATAACTAGATTGAGAAAGAGTTTCAATAACTCAAAATATGATTTTCAAAATAATTATTTTCCCGCGTTCCCTCATAAATTAGGCATAGGCTAGCTAAGCCGAGTTTCCATTCACTCCGCACGGCCTAGCGAAAAGCAAACATTAATAACAGCTCCTCTGTAATAGCAGCTTGACACAATAAAAAAAAATCACAGCATATCCACGGAGTGCACGATGATGAGTGGGGCGAAGCTCCGTCCGTCCGCGTCCATTTGTTCTTGTTGCCATCCGTCCATTAGTACGTCTGTGCGTCCGTCCCTGCGTTCGCTCGTGCGACCGTCCGTGCATCTGTCTGTCCGTCCGGCCATCTAGTGAACACATCCCAAGTACCACCATCTCGCATCTTTTCATTCATTATATATTCAGCAATGAATCGGCGTATAGAAGTAGCACCATCCAGGGGACATTCTAAGGACTAAACGAGAGGTGTCACTTGTGCACTTTCATGCGGCCTGCGCTTCGTGCCTACTTCCCACCTTTCACCGCCTCTTCTTCATGGCTATATACCACTGTATTTACGGCACTGCGGCCCAACCCTAGCCAAAAATTGCTAAAATCAAGGAGGTTACGCCCAGCAAGTTTAACGTGGCAACCCTTTCTGGTCAGATAGTGCTCAAAGTGTGTCTTTCTGATACTAGTTTTCTTTAGTAAGCATCAAATTGAAGGCAAATGTTATTGGAGATTAAGTCACCAATACTCGTCTCCGTAAGTTATTTAATCAGAAGCAACCATTTTTTATTTATGATTAACGTGCGCGGGTTTCCTCCTAAACAAAAAAGGGCGCGCGCATGCCGCTCCTCTAGTCCGGCCGAGGAGGTGGACGGACGGACGGAAAAACTTTATTTAAAAAAAAGAAACCCTGGAGGGTTACCGGCCCGGGCTCATGCCACCCCGACGTATTGTGCGGTGAGGCGTAGCCTTTCCACCGCTGTCCGGGCCCGCTGGATTGCCCACAGTTGATCGCGCAGATCTGAGCTAGTCAGCGCATTTAGCCAACGCTCCTCGATAAGGTCCGGTTTTGTATTGTCTTCTCGGTATATTACTGTGACCTGTGTGCATTGCCATAGAATGTGTGCCATATCTGCGTGTTCGTGCTTACAGAGGGTACAGCTTGTTTGTGGGCTACTTACCACTACTACTACATACGTCGCGGACGCACGACCCATGGCATAGGGTGTTTCGCCCCCAAAAAGTATTTCATTTGTGCATGACTTCATATATGTTATATAGAGATCAAAAGTGCGCGATCATATCTCGCACAGTCCTGGTACTTTTTGTCGGATGCCAGCGGTCGTATTTCCCTTGTGCCTCCGATTTGTAGGGGCGATCGAAGCACGATAAGGTCTCGGTTTGTCATGTCGTCCTCACGGTCCATCATAAAGGGGCATGCCTCACAAAAATTGCGAAAGTCTCACTACCAGCCCGTAGTATGCATATTATGGGTTAAAGATTCGTCGTTATTGCCTAAAACATCATGTTTTGACCTACTAGGAGTGTCAGAATCTCCGAAGTTTATTAAGACGTGCAAGTTTAACTCTTACCTAAAACCAGAGACACAAATGTGCACCTCCACGGCAAAGTGGTCTATTTAAAGATCAATGCACTTCTTGAAACATATCTAGTGCAAAATGATGCTGCATAGAGGAGAACAGTTGGCCCAACAAATAGCGGGCGACGTTAGTGAACACCCTTCTCTAGAGGCCGTAGAGATCTGCATGTAGGGAAGAAGAATAAGAAGCAGTTGGGTAAACTATATGTTGACGAGGTGTTCCGACGACGTTAGTGGAGTTAAAGCACCCATTCCTACGTGCCCAGCTTCAAGCTTGGCATCGTGCCTTATGAAAAGAAAAAAAAATTTCAAAACAATGTGGCGTGCGTATTACTTCCGTCAGGCCCCCATTTCTTCTTTTTCTGTCTCATTGCGCATTAGCAGCGCCTTTGCTATGGGTACAACAACGCACACTGCATGTTCGCCCTTCCCCAGGTTTCGTTAGAGGAACCTTAACACCCTTCCCTTACGTGCTTTGAAACTCCATAGCTTT